TACCCTTCTTCTCCTTTTTCTTCACCTTCTCCTTCTTCACCTCCTCTTCTTGTCTTCTTCTCCTCCTCCTTTTCTCCCCATCTTCTCCTTTTCCCCCTTCCCTTCCTTCTTCTCCTTTTCTTTCAATTTCTTTCTCTCCTCCTTCTTGTACCCTTCTTCTCCTTTTTCTTCACCTTCTCCTTCTTCACCTCCTCTTCTTGTCTTCTTCTCCTCCTCCTTTTCTCCCCATCTTCTCCTTTTCCCCCTTCCCTTCCTTCTTCTCCTTTTCTTTCAATTTCTTTCTCTCCTCCTTCTTGTACCCTTCTTCTCCTTTTTCTTCACCTTCTCCTTCTTCACCTCCTCTTCTTTTCTTCCTCTCCTCCTCCTTTTCTCCCCATCTTCTCCTTTTCCTCCTTCCCTTCCTTCTTCTCCTTTTCTTTCAATTTCTTTCTCTCCTCCTTCTTGTACCCTTCTTCTCCTTTTTCTTCACCTTCTCCTTCTTCACCTCCTCTTCTTGTCTTCTTCTCCTCCTCCTTTTCTCCCCATCTTCTCCTTTTCCCCCTTCCCTTCCTTCTTCTCCTTTTCTTTCAATTTCTTTCTCTCCTCCTTCTTGTACCCTTCTTCTCCTTTTTCTTCACCTTCTCCTTCTTCACCTCCTCTTCTTGTCTTCTTCTCCTCCTCCTTTTCTCCCCATCTTCTCCTTTTCCCCTTCCCTTCCTTCTTCTCCTTTTCTTTCAATTTCTTTCTCTCCTCCTTCTTGTTCCCTTCTTCTCCTTTTTCTTCACCTTCTCCTTCTTCACCTCCTCTTCTTTTCTTCCTCTCCTCCTCCTTTTCTCCCCATCTTCTCCTTTTCCTCCTTCCCTTCCTTCTTCTCCTTTTCTTTCAATTTCTTTCTCTCCTCCTTCTTGTTCCTCTTCTCCTTTTTCTTCACCTTCTCCTCCTTCCCTCTTCTTTTCTCTCCTCCTCCTTTTCTCCCCTTCTTCTTCCTTTTCCTCCCTCCTTCTTTCTTCTTCATTTCTTTCCTTCTTTCTCCTCCTTCTTGTTCTCCTTTTTCTTCACCTTCTCCTCCTTCTCCTCCTCCTCTTTTCTTCCTCTCCTCCTCCTTTCTCTCCTCTTCCTCTTTTTATTTTATTTTAGTTGTTAAGTCATAATTCATGTTTATATATAAATAAAGTGTTATTATTTATATATAAAAATAATATAAATATAAATAAAGTTATTATTATTATTATTATTATTCCATTCCTTCTTTTCTTTCAACTTCTCCTTTCTCTCCTCCTTCTTGATCCTTTCTCATTTTCTTCAACTTCTCCTCCTCCTCTTCTTTTCTTCCTCTCCTCCTTTCTCTCCTCTTCCTCCTTCCCTTCCTTTTTTTCTTTCAACTTCTCCTTTGTTCTCTCCTCCTTCTTGAGCCCTTCCTTCTCCTTTTCTTCAACTTCTCCTCCTCTTTATTCCTCTTCTCCTCCTTCCCTTTTCTCTCCTCTTCCTTCTTTTAGTTCTTTCCTTTCAACTTCTCCTTTCTTTCCTCCTTCTTGATCCCTTCCTTCTCCTTTTCTTCAACTTCTCCTCCATTCTTCCTCTCCTCCTTCTCTTTTCTCTCCTCTTCCTCCTTTCGGTTTTCTTTCCTTCCTCCTTTTCTTTCAACTTATCCTGCTTTCTCTCCTCCTTCTTGATCCTTCTCCTTTTCTTCAATTTCTCCTCCTCTTCATTCCTCCTCTCCTCTTTCTCTTTTCTCTCATCTTCCTCCTTTTAGTTCTTTCCTTCCTTCTTTTCTTTCAACTTCTCCTTCTTTTTCTCCTCCTTCTTTAACCCTTCCTTCTCCTTTTCTTCAACTTCTCCTCCTTCTTCTTTCTCTCCTCCTCCTCCTTTTAGTTCTTCTTTCCTTCCTTCTTTTCTTTCAACTTCTCCTTCTTTCTCTCCTCCTTCTTGATCCCTTCCTTCTCCTTTTCTTCAACTTCTCCTCCTTCTCCTTTCTCTCCTCTTCTCTTTCTCTTATTTCTTCCCTTCCCTTCATTTCTTTCAACTTCTCCTCTCTCCCCTCTGTCTTGTTCCCTTCCTTCTTCTCCTTTTTCTTCAACTTCTCCTTTTTTTTCTTTGCTTCTTTTGTTCCCTTCCATCTTCTCCTTCATTTCTTTCTTCCTTTCCTTCCAACTGCTCCTTCACCTTCCTCTCCTCCTCCTCTTCCCCCTTCTCTTCCTTTTCCTTCCTCTCCTCCTTCTCTTCCCCTTCTCTTCCTTTTCTTTCCTCTCCTCCTTCTCTCCCCCTCCTCTTCCTTTTCCTTCCTCTCCTCCTTCTCTTCCCCCTTCTCTTCCTTTTCCTTCCTCTCCTTCTCTTCCCCCTTCTCTTCCTTTTCTTTCCTCTCCTCCTTCTCTTCCCCCTTCTCTTCCTTTTCCTTCCTCTCCTCCTTCTCTTCCCCCTTCTCTTCCTTTTCCTTCCTCTCCTTCTCTTCCCCCTTCTCTTCCTTTTCTTTCCTCTCCTCCTTCTCTTCCCCCTTCTCTTCCTTTTCTTTCCTCTCCTCCTTCTCTTCCCCCTTCTCTTCCTTTTCTTTCCTCTCCTCCTTCTCTTCCCCCTTCTCTTCCTTTTCTTTCCTCTCCTCCTTCTCTTCCCCCTTCTCTTCCTTTTCTTTCCTCTCCTCCTTCTCTTCCCCCTTCTCTTCCTTTTCTTTCCTCTCCTCCTTCTCTTTCCCCTCCTCTTCTTTTTTCTTCCTCTCCTCCTTCTCTTTCCCCTCCTCTTCCTTTTCCTTCCTCTCCTCCTTCTCTTTCCCCTTTCCCTTTTCCCTTCCTTCCTCCTTGGGTAGAAAATGGGCACTTTGGGCATCTTGAGGGCCACAGAAACAGACTTGGAGGGATCTCCAGACTATGCTATATCTTCCTTGCCAAAAGTACCCCAAAGAGACCCCCTTTTTGGCATTGGGCCTTCAGGGCTTTGATGCAGCAACCAACCAATTTTCCTCCCTTTCGATCCCAGACTACACCGAGAACGTCCAGTTCTCTTTGGCTTCTCCGGAGCTGATCAAGGAAGGCGACGACGTGGAGTTCCACTGCCAGGCTGATGGCTCTCCGCCGCCCGAGTATTTCTTCTTCAGAGTGCAGGTACTGCAGGTGTCCTTGGCCTACCTGGACCCACCTGAGCTTGGAAATCCTTGGAGGGGTGGGGGGTCCTCTCTTGATCTAATCTGTCTCCAAAGACACTTGGAGAAGATGCAAGAAACAGAGTCCTTTGTGGCAGATCCACCAAAGACATGACATCCTCAGAGTACAGGTACCACAGGTGTCCTGGGCCTACCTGAGCTTGGAAATCCTTGGGGGAGGGTCCTCTCTTGGTCTCATGTCTCCAAGGACACTTGGAGAAGATGCAAGAGATGGAGTCCTTTGTGGCAGATCCACCAAAGACGTGACATCCTCAAAGTACAGGTACCACAGGTGTCCTTGGCCTACCTGGGCCCACCTGAGCTTGGAAATCCTTGGGGGAGGGTCCTCTCTTGGTCGAATCTGTCTCCAAGGACACTTGGAGAAGATACAAGAGTTGGAGTCCTTTGAGGCAGATCCACCAAAGGTGTGACATCTTCTTCTACAGCCTGGAAGCGACGACCGAGAAGACTTTGCTTGGTCTCCTCACCAAACATGTCTGACATGAGTGTGGGTTGGTGGGCTTTTGCCAAAGCCGTTGCAACTCATAACTAGACAGTCAGGGATGGGGAATGGTCGGTCTCTAGGAATTTGTTGGAACTAGGAAAAAGGGTTTATATATCTGTGGAATGACCAGGGTGGGACAAAGGACTCTTGTCTGCTGGAGCTATGTGTGAATGTTTCAACTGATCACCTTGATTAGCATTTGACGGCCTGGCAGTGCCTGGAGCAATCTTTTGTTGAGAGGTGATTAGATGTCCTTGTTTGTTTCCTCTTTGTTGTTCTGCTGTTGTAATTTTAGAGTTTTTTAATACTAGTAGCCAGATGCAGGCAAACCGTCAGGAGAGAATGCCTCTAGAAAAAACCTACAACAACCCAGTGATTCCGGCCATGAAAGCCTTCAACAATACAGATTTCCTTTTGTTTTGTAGTCTGGCTCTTATGTGTTGGGTTCAGGTTTGGCAGCAGATGTTTGAGTTCTGATCGGGCTCCGTTCGCTCTTTCTTCTTTGGTTCTCTGTCCGCCTTCACCCGTTGGATCCAGACGTCCGAAAAGGGAGAAGTCCAGCGCGACATGGGCTCCAACCCAGACGGTGTCCTCCGCCTCCGTCGTGTCACCAAAGCCGACAGCGGGACGTACCGGTGCCAAGTGCTGGACTTCGACAGCCCGCCCGAAGTGGACCTGGAGAAGGAGGCCGACATCTTCGTCCACTGTGAGCGGCCCAGCGGGGGGTTCCAATGGGGGGAGAAATCATCAATTTAACCCCACTTTCTTTCTTATGCCGTTACGTTACACTGTTACGGACGGAAGGAAGGAAGGAAGGAAGGAAGGAAGGAAGGAAGGAAGGAGGGAGGGAAGGAGGGAGAGAGGGAAGGAAGGAGGGAGGGAGGGAGGGAAGGAAGGGAGGAAGGGAGGACGGAAGGGAGGGAGGGAGGAAGGAGGGAGGAGGGAAGAAGGAAGGAAGAGGGAAGGAAGGAAGGAGGGAAGGAAGGAGAGGGAGGAAGAAAGGAGAAGAGGAGGGAGGGAGGAAGGAAGGGAGAAGGAAAGAGGGAGGGAGGAAAGAAGGAGGAAGGGAAGGAAGGAAGGAAGGAAGAAGGAAGGAAGGAGAGGGGGAAGGAAGGAGGGAGGGGAAGGAAGGAAGGAAGGAGGGAAGGGAGGGAGGGGGAGGGAAGGAAGAAAGAGGAGGGAGGAAGGAAAGAGAAGAGAAGGAAGGAAGGAAGAGGGAGGGGGAGGGAGGGGAAAGGGAGGGGAGGGAAGGAAGAAGAGAGGAGGGAGGGAGGGAAGAGGAAGGAAGGAAGGAAAGGAAGGAAGGAGGAGGGGAGGGAGGAGGGAGGGAGGGAAGGAAGAAGGAAGAGGAAGGAGGAGGGAAGGAAGGAAGAAAGAGGGAGGAAGGGAGGAAGGAAGGAAGAAGAGAGAAGAAGGAAGGGAGAAGAGGAAGGAAGGAAGGAGGGAGGGGAGGGAGGGAAGGAAGGAAGGAGGGAGGGGAAGGAAGGAAAGAAAGAGAGAAGGAAGGAAGGAGAGGAAGGAAGGAAGGGAGGGAGGGAAGGAAGGAAGAGGAGGGAGGGAGGAAGGAAGGAGGGAGGGAGGGAGGGAGTGAAGGAAGGAAGGAAGAGGAAGGAAGGAAGGGAGAAGGAAGGAAGGAGGGAAAGAAAGAAGGAGGAAGGAAGGAGGAAGGAGAGAAGGAAGGAAGAGAGAGGAGAGGAAGGAGAGAAAGAAAGGAGAGAAAGAGAGAGGGAAGGTTGGTCACAGCAACGCTTGGCGGGGAACGGCTAGTAGACATATATATTTTACCTTTAACATATTCTTCTTTCATATACAGAAGAGTGTTGTTTTCACATTGTTTAATTGTCTATGTACAATATAATCAAATAGATTAATATTTTAAACATGAAATATAACCCCGCTTTCCACCCCATTTCCACCCTCTCCAGACCTGGACGCAGTTGTTGTGACTCCAAGCAAGATGGCGGTGGCTAACGTGAGCGGAAACGTAGAATTGACTTGCTCCGGAAGCGGATCCAGGACGCCCGAATTGTCCTGGAAGAAGGTGAGAAGAGAGTCCCCAAATCCCATCTCCAAAGTTTAGGGAAGTATGTGGACTGTAGTTCCCAGAATCCCCCAACCGAAATTAGTGCTCCAGTGTTTCCAAAGTTAGTTCTCATGTCCTCAAAGTCCCATCTCCAAGTTTGGACTATAGTTCCCAGAATCCTACAACCAACATTGGTGCTCCAGTGTTTCCAAAGTTAGTTCTCATGTTCTCAAAGTCCCATCTCCAAGTTTGGACTATGCATGGACTGGTCCATGAGGTCACGAAGAGTTGGAGACGACTGAACGAATGAACAACAACAAATAGACGGCACTTAACATTTTACAATACATCCAAAAAGAAAAAAGAAAAAAACCCAAAGAAACAAACAAGCAAACAAAGAAAACAAAACAGAACAAAACATAACTTGCTGTCCTCGAGGACGCCAAGATCTTTTTCACACGTACTGCTCTCGAGCCAGGCATCCCCAATCCCCCAACCAAAATTAGCGCTCCAGTGTTTCCAAAGTTAGTTCTCATGTCCTCAAAGTCCCATCTCCAAGATTGGACTATAGTTCCCAGAATCCCCAATCAACATTGGTGCTCCAATGTTTCCAAAGTTAGTTCTCATCTTCTCAAAGTCCCATCTCCAAGATTGGACTATAGTTCCCAGAACCCCCAATCAACATTGGTGCTCCATGGTTTCCAAAGTTAGTTCTCATGTTCTCAAAGTCCCATCTCCAAGATTGGACTATAGTTCCCAGAATCCCCAATCAACATTGGTGCTCCATGGTTTCCAAAGTTAGTTCTCATCTTCTCAAAGTCCCATCTCCAAGATTGGACTATAGTTCCCAGAATCCCCAATCAACATTGGTGCTCCAATGTTTCCAAAGTTAGTTCTCATCTTCTCAAAGTCCCATCTCCAAGATTGGACTATAGTTCCCAGAACCCCCAATCAACATTGGTGCTCCATGGTTTCCAAAGTTAGTTCTCATCTTCTCAAAGTCCCATCTCCAAGATTGGACTATAGTTCCCAGAATCCCCAATCAACATTGGTGCTCCAATGTTTCCAAAGTTAGTTCTCATCTTCTCAAAGTCCCATCTCCAAGATTGGACTATAGTTCCCAGAACCCCCAATCAACATTGGTGCTCCATGGTTTCCAAAGTTAGTTCTCATGTTCTCAAAGTCCCATCTCCAAGATTGGACTATAGTTCCCAGAATCCCCAATCAACATTGGTGCTCCATGGTTTCCAAAGTTAGTTCTCATCTTCTCAAAGTCCCATCTCCAAGATTGGACTATAGTTCCCAGAATCCCCAATCAACATTGGTGCTCCATGTTTCCAAAGTTAGTTCTCATCTTCTCAAAGTCCCATCTCCAAGATTGGACTATAGTTCCCAGAATCCCCAATCAACATTGGTGCTCCAATGTTTCCAAAGTTAGTTCTCATCTTCTCAAAGTCCCATCTCCAAGATTGGACTATAGTTCCCAGAATCCCCAATCAACATTGGTGCTCCAATGTTTCCAAAGTTAGTTCTCATCTTCTCAAAGTCCCATCTCCAAGATTGGACTATAGTTCCCAGAACCCCCAATCAACATTGGTGCTCCATGGTTTCCAAAGTTAGTTCTCATGTTCTCAAAGTCCCATCTCCAAGATTGGACTATAGTTCCCAGAATCCCCAATCAAATTTGGTGCTCCATTATATATACACATACAAAACATATATACACAGAATGGACCACAGCAACACGTGGCAGGGGACAGCTAGTAACAAGTACAAAGCTTCTCTTCCTCCCCAACCTTAACCCACTTCCTCTCCCTTGGTGACATAGTAAACATTTGTAAAGATCCAAAAGCATAAAAAGTGCTGCTTTGGAGAGCCAGGAAGGAGGCCTCCCAGTCTGGAGATCCAAAATGTAAGAGCCACCACCAAGAAGGCCCTGCCTGTCTTCTTGTTTTCTGTTTGCAGGGGGAGGAAGAGGTCGGGAAAGGTGCCACTTTGACCCTGGATTCACTGACCTACCAAATGGCAGGGACCTACTCCTGCAAGGCTGCCATCTCCAGCATTCCCGGTTTGGTAAAAGAACAAACTGTCCAGGTCGTGGTGGAAGGTAAGGAGCCAAGTTTGGATGCAAAAAGTTTGGACCCTCAGCTAAAGCTGGCTTTCTATCTCTCTGGATGCATGCACATTGCAGAATGAATGCAGTTTGGCACCACTTCTAACTGCCAGGGTTGGATGCTATGAAATTAGGGGCTATATGTGTTGACAGGGATTGTTGTTGTTACAATTTTATGTGACTTGTTTTATACCTATGTACCATTTTTACCTGTTGCATATTATATGTGCACCCTGGAGTGCCTTTGTCAGCTGTCTGGAGTTCCTTTGGGGGAGATGCCCAGCGTTTATTTTTTAAATTTTTAATTTTTTAAATTTTTAATTTTTTAAATTTTTAATTTTTTAAATTTAAAAATTTTTAAATTTTAAAATTAAATTTTTTTTAATTTTTAAATTTTTTAGAATTTTTAAAATTTTTAAATTTTTAAATTTTTAAATTTTAATTTTTAAAATTTTAAATTTTTAAATCTATTTTTTTAATTTCTAAATTTTTAAATTTTTATTTTTTTAATTTTTTAAATTTTAAATTTTTTTAAAAAATTTAATTTTAATTTTTTAAAATTTTAAAATTTTAATTTTTTTTTAAAAAAATTAATTTTTTATTTTTTATTTTTTTTATTTTTTAACTACTACATTTGGCCCGGCCATAGGTTTTTAAATTCTTGTGCGTTACTCTTTATTGGTTATTGTTTATATGTGATTTATATTAATTGTATTGTATTTATTGTTTTGTTTATTGCTTTTTGTTTTATTGATGTATTGTTGGGCTTGGCCTCATGTAAGCCGCTCCGAGTCCCTTGGGGAGATGGTGACGGGGTATAAATAAAGTATTATTATTATTATTATTATTATTATTATTATTATTATTATTATGGTTCAGAAACAGGTTTATTAAGTGGTCCTGGTTGTTTTTGTGTCCTGACTTCCTTTTCTTCTAACCAGGGAAACCAGAGATGGAGCAATAGCAGTCCTGGTTGTTTTTGTGTCCTGACTTCCTCCTCTTCTAACCAGGGAAACCAGAGATGGAGCAACACCAATCGGTCTCCCATTACCAAACCATTGGACAAGTAGTAGAGCTGACCTGTTCCGTTTTGGGCCATCCCGAACCCGAGATCCGGTGGAGTGTCACTGGAGAGGTGAGTCTTGGAGCAACAAGTAGACTGGGAATGGTGCATGATGCCAGTTAGTCCAGGATACTGAGAGACTGGGCATCCTACTTTTGGAAGAAATATCAAATGGCAGATAAGTTGGTTTGCTGGTCATTCCAAGGCCCAGTCTTTCCAAGACTATCAATTCTCAAGGAATAGATCGATTGTCCGGTAGGCTGTCAGGAATTCTGGGAGTTGGAGTCTAAAACACTTAGAGAACCAAAGTTTGCCCATGCCGGCATTATAGCATAACTATTGGTATATAAAGCCCCTGATTAACAGTAGTAATGTTACACCACCTCACCCACCTCATAGGAAACCTGCTACAAAACAGGAGCTTTTTTGTTGAGTTCCAGAGCCAGAGAAGCAGATGGCGGAAACAGAAGAACGGCCTGCCTCAGGGGAGCGTGCTTGCTCCATCCATATTCAACATCTACACAAATGACCAGCCACTGCCAGAAGGGACAGAGAGTTTCATCTATGCTGATGATCGTGCCATCACCGCTCAAGCAGGGAGCTTTGAGATGGTTGAACAGAAGCTCTCGAAGCTCTAGGTGCTCTTACTGCCCATTACAGGGGAAACCAGCTGATCCCTAATCCATCTAAAACACAGACATGTGCCTTTCATCTCAAGAACAGATAAGCATCCCGAGCTCTGAGGATTATTACCTGGGAAGGAATCCCACTGGAGCATTGCAGCGCACCCAAATACCTGGGAGTCACTCTGAACCGTGCTCTGACCTACAAGAAGCACTGCCTGAACATCAAGCAAAAAGTGGGTGCTAGAAACGATATCATACGAAAGCTGACTGGCACAACCTGGGGATCACAACCAGACACAGTGAAGACATCTGCCCTTGCGCTATGCTACTCTGCTGCTGAGTATGCATGCCCAGTGTGGAACACATCTCACCACACTAAAACAGTAGATGTGGCTCTTATGAGACATGCCGCATTATCACAGGGTGTCTGCGCCCCGCACCACTGGAGAAATTACACTGCTTAGCCGGTATTGCACCACCTGACATCCGCCGGGAAGTAGCAGCCAATAGTGAAAGGACCAAGGCAGAGACATCTCCAGCTCATCCCCTGTTTGGGTATCAGCCAGCACGTCAATGACTTAAATCTAGAAATAGTTTTCTAAGATCTACAGAGACACTCGCTGGAACACCTCAGCAAGCGAGAGTCCAAAAGTGGCAGGCTCAAACCCAGAACCTCAACCAATGGCTGATACCAAATGAGAGACTTCCCCCCTGGGCACACAGAAGACTGGGCGACTTGGAAGGCGCTGAACAGACTGTGCTCTGGCACCACGAGATGCAGAGCCAACCTTCAGAAATGGGGCCACAAAGTGGAATCCACAACATGCGAGTGTGGAGAAGAGCAAACCACTGACCACCTGCTGCAATGCAACCTGAGCCCTGCCACACGCACAATGGAGGACCTTCTTGCGGCAACACCAGAGGCACTCCAAGTGGCCAGATACTGGTCAAAGGACATTTAATCAACTACCAAACTTGCAAATTTTGTGTTTTGTTTGTTTGTTTGTTTTGTTCTGTTAGAAATGTAATACAATTGACTGGTTGCCCTGACACGACAAATAAAACATAGTAGTAATTTATTTAATGCTTAAACCATACATCTTTTACATGCAGGACAAACAGGTAAACACATACAAACCAGATTATGAAACACAGTGCAAAATGCACCCCTAAAATATGACACAAACCATTAAAGTGCTACATAAATCAATGGTGAGATGCACCCTTAAAATACTACATGAACTAGCTCTTGCATAGTTAAGATATCAGACAGATGGCAAGCTGTTTAACCTCAGCAGACTGAAAGCCAAAACATCTGTTATAGAACTCCAGTATGCTGATGACAATGTCATCTATGCGCATTCAGAAGAAGACCTACAAAACACTCTAAACACCTTTGCAGAAGCATACGAGAAGCTCGGCCTGTCATTGAACATCGAGAAAACCAAAGTGCTGTTCCAGCAGTCACCAGCCAACCCCTCTCCAATGCCAGCAATACAGCTTAATGGTGTAACATTAGAAAATGTTGACCATTTCTGCTACCTTGGCAGCCACCTCTCCACAAAAGTCAACATCGACACCGAAATACAACACCGCCTGAGCTCTGCGAGTGCAGCATTTTCCGAATGAAGCAGAGAGTGTTTGAGGACCGGGACATCCGTAGGGATACCAAGGTGCTTATCTATAAAGCTATTGTCCTCCCAACCCTGCTCTATTCCTGCGAAACATGGACTGTCTACAGACGTCACATGCAACTCCTGGAACGATTGCATCAGCGCTGCCTCCGGAAAATCCTGCAAATATCTTGGGAAGAGAAGCGGGAGTATTTGAGGACCGGGACATCCATAGGGAGACTAAGGTGCTTGTTTATAAAGCTATTGTCCTCCCAACCCTGCTATACGCCTGTGAGACGTGGACTGTCTACAGACGTCAACATTGACACTGAAATACAACACCGCCTGAGCTCTGCGAGTGCAGCATTTTTCCGAATGAATAGAGAGTGCTTGAGGACTTGGACATCCGTAGGGAGACCAAGGGGCTTGTTTATAAAGCCACTGTCCTCCCAACCCTGCTATATGCCTGCAAGACGTGGACTGTCTACAGACGTCACATGCAACTCCTGGAATGATTCCATCAGCGCTGCCTCCGGAACATCCTGCAAATCTCTTGGGAAGACAAGCGGACAAATGTCAGTGTGCTGGAAGAAGCAAAGACCACCAACATTGAAGCAATGGTCCTCCGTTATCAACTCCGCTGGACCCGCCATGCTGTCCGGATGCTTGACCACCGTCTCCCAAAGCAGTTGCTCTACTCCAAACTCAAGAATGGAAAACAGAATGTTGGAGGACAGGAAAGAGATTTAAAGATGGGCTCAAAGCCAACCTTAAAAACTCTGGCATAGACACTGAGAACTGGGAAGACCTGGCCCTTGAGTGCTCCAGCTGGAGGTCAGCTGTGACCAGCAGTGCTGTAGAATTTGAAGAGGCACGAATGGAAGGTGAAAGAGAGAAATGTGCCAAGAGGAAGGTGCATCAAGCCAACCCCAACCGGGACCACCTTCCACCTGGAAACCAATGACGCAGGTCAAGAATAGGACTCCACAGTCATCTACGGACCCACCGCCAGGACACCGAACTTGGAGGACCATCATCCTTGGACAATGAGGGATCACCTAAGTAGAAGCAAGTTAAGCTAGATAAATAGAAATATAGATATAAAGTTTAGCAATTTGGTCAACTGTTTGTTTACAGGTGGAATAATTCTTTCTGCGAGCTGCATTTTGACAGTCTTGTCATCTAAAGGATGCTGGTGCCAAACTACAGCTCCCACCATTCCATAGCATTGAGCCAAGTGGAGCCAAACTGCATTAATCGCACTGTGTAGATGCAGCCATGCTGACCTTTGCATCTTTTCCCAGGAACTCTCTGCAAACACCTTGTCGGTGGAAGTGACACCTGAACTGGTTCAGAGCGGTGTTTCCTGCTGGGCCCAGAACAAGCACGGTTCGGACAAGCAGACCTTCCAGTTTGAGAAGGGTGAGTGGAAAGGAAGGGGAGCATGGGATCTGTTGTCCTTTGGGTCCATTATGGAAGGTTCGGTCCGATTTCTGTCCCCGGGTTTCACTTGCAAGCAAGACTTTATACCAACCAACTTGGGCTCTCTGGGTGTTTTGGAATGGTGGGAGTTGTAGTCCAAAACACTTAGAGGGCTGAAGCTGGCCCATGCCTGCGTTATAAACAAACTGCATGCAGGGTGAAGCTCACCATTGCTGTTTAATGTGGAAGGGATTTCTTAAACTGTTGGGAGCACATCAGGATGAGGAGCACATTGCATGGAAGGGAGGGCTTAACCATTTGCCACCACCATATAAAACAACCCTAATGCATCAATTTCTCCCCATAGTTTCCCCAACACAACCATCATCCCCGGGACCGGCAGGTAAGTCCTTAGTCCACTTCCTTCCCTCCCTCCCCCCCCCCCCCCTTCTTCTTCCTTCCTTCTTTCTTTTCTTCCTTCTTTCCTTTCCTCCTTCCTTCCTTCCTTCTTCCTTTTCTTTCCTTCCTTCCTTCCTTCCTTCCTTCCTTCCTTCCTTCCTTCCTTCTTTTATTTCCTTCTTCTTTCTTCTCCTTCTTTCCTTTCCTCTCCTCCCCTTCCCTCCTCCTTCCTTCTCTCCTTTCCTTCTTTTCTTCCTTCCTTCCCTTTTTCCTTCCTTCTTCTTTTTTTCCTTCCTTCTTCCCCCTTCCTTCCCTCCCCCCTCCTTCCTTCCTTCCTTCCTTCCTTCCTTCCTTCCTTCCTTTCTTCTTCTTCTTCCTTTCCTTCCCTTCCCTCCTCCCCTTCCTCCCTCCCTTTCCTCCTTTCTTTCTTCTTCCTTCTTCCCCTTTTCCCCTTCCTTCCTTCTTCCTTTTCTTCCTTCCTTCCTTCCTTCCTTCTCCCTTCTTCCTTTCCTCTTCTTTCCTTCCTTCCTTCCTTTCCTTTTCTTCCTTCCTTCCTTCTCCTCCTTCCTTTCCTAACCTTCCTCCCTCCCTTACCTACCTACCTTCCTTCTTTCCAAACTACGTATTGACTTAGCTTCTCAACGATTTATCTCCTTCTTTCTCTTCCTTCTTCTGTCCTTCCTTCCTTCTCTCCTTCTTTCCTTTTGCCCTTCCTTCCTTCTCTTTCCTTTCCTTCTTTTCTTCTCCCCTTCCTCCCTTCTTTCCTGCCTTCCTTCCCTGTTTCCCCCTTTCAACCTACCTACTTCCTTCCTTCTTTCCAAACTATCTCTTCCATTCTTCCAACCTCCCTCCTCCTCTATTTCTTTCCTTCTTTCCCTGTTCTTCACAAACTATTCCTTCCAATCTACCTACTTCCTTCCTAGCTTCCTTCCTTTCTCTCCTTCCTTTCCTCCTTCCGACCTACCTACTTCCTTCTTTCTTTCAAGCTTTTATTTCTCTCCTTCCAGCCCACCTCCTCCTTTTCTTCTTTCCTTCCTTCCTCTTCATAGACTGTTCCTTCCAATCTGCCTGCTTCCTTTCTTGTTTCTTTTGTCTCCTTCCTTTTTCTTCCCTTCCTTCCTTCTCTCTTCTTCTTTCTTCCCTCCCTTCTTTCCTTCTCTTCTTTTTCCTTTCCTTTTTTCCTTCTCTCCTTCCTTCCTAATTTCTCTCCTTCCTTCTCTCATTCTTTCCTAACCTCCCTCCCTTACCTACCTACCTTCCTTCTTTCCAAACTACGTATTGACTTAGCTTCTCAACGATTTATCTCCTTCTTTCTCTCCTTCTTTCCTTCTCTCCTTCCTTCCTTCCTTCCTTCCTTCTTTGTCTCCTTCCTCCCTCCCTCTCTCACCTTCCTTCCTTCCTTCCTTCCTTCCTTCCTTCCTTCCTTCCTTCCTTCCTTCCTTCCTTTCCTCCCTTCCTCCCTCCCTTCTAGCCTTCTTCTTTTCTTCTTTCCTTCCAAGCCCCTTCCTTCTTTCTTTCTCTGCCCATCCTCTCATTCTCTTCCCTTTTCAAATCTGGACAGTGGGTAGGTTTGGCCCCTTTGGCCAAATCTGGGCATGGGATGGATGGACTTTATGATTTGGGCCATTAACTGCTTTTCCCCATCTCGCGCACGCTGCCGTAGGAAACCCCGAACTTCGCACAGGTGGGTCTCGAGAAACGGCCGGGTGCATTTCAGCCAATGCACCAAAACATGAGCTGATGTTGGGATCCTTTGTCCTTTGGTTTCATGGGGCGCCTTTCTCCCCAAACAGTGGACGGCGAGGAGGGCCAAGGCGGCAGCACGGTGGCGGTCATTGCGGTCTGCGTCTGCGTCCTGCTCTTGCTGCTCATCGTCGGCTTCTTCTACTTCATGCAGCGGCGAGGGCAGCTTCCTTGCGGCAGCGGAGAGAAGAGGTCCTTGTGAGTGCCGTGAAACCCCCAGCCCCCCACCTTCTTGTCCTGTCAATCAGTCAATCTTTATTACACCCCAAAGACCCAATTTGCTTAGCAGGGAAAGTGCCCAGCAGATTCCTAAACGGATAAGACCACAACTCAAGAGAGATATTGACTCTAAGCTGGAATGTGTCCAGAGGAGGGCGACTAAAA